AAGTTCTGTAACAACACAGATTTTTTTCCCTCTTTTTGGTTTGTAGTTGTCCTCATTTGTTGGTTGGTGTCTCTGGTTCCCTGTTTTTAATCTTGTAGGCTTATTTACTTTGGATACTTCATAGCTGGGTTGGTTTCTGGGTTATATCATCATGTGTGTTAATGGTCAGTTGTTGTTGGCTGTTGTTGCCTCTCTGTCCGAAGGGCTCCCTTTTAGCATCTCTCGTAAGGTTGTTCTGGTTTTAACAAATTCCCTTAATTTCTGCTTATCTGGAAATGTCCTAATTTCAACATCATATTTGAGGGACAGTTTTGCTGGGTACATAATTCTTGGTTGGAAATTTTTCTCTTTCAGTGTTTTATATATACCATCCCACTGTCTTCTCGCCTGCATGGTTTCTGTCGAGAAATCCAAGCGTAATCTTGTTGGTTGCCCCTTGTAGGTAACTTTTTGTTTTTCCCATGCTGCTCTCATGATTCTTTCTTTGTCTTTGGTTTTAGTGAGTTTGATGATGATATGTCTTGGTGTTTTTCTTTTGAGGTCTATCCTGTTTGGGGTTCGTTGGGCTTCCTGAGTGGATGTATTCTCAACTTTCATCATATCAGGGATGTTTTCCTCCAACAAATCTTTAACAATTTTCTCAGTGCTTTCATTTTTCTCTTCCTGTTCTGAAATTCCAGTGACATGTAGGTTATTCCTTTTGATGGTATCCCACATGAGCCTTAAGCTTTCTTCATTTTGTTTTGATCTTTTTTCTGATTGATCCCTTTCCAAAGAAGAATCCAGGTATTTGTCTTCAATCTCATTAATTCTGTCTTCCATTGCATCAGTTCTACTCTTGCCCTTTCAATGTGTCATCTATTTCTGACAAATTAGTATTAATCTTCTGGATTTCTCTCTATAGATTTAGAATCATTTCTAATTTTTCATTTGTTTTGTCATTTTGTTCTTGTATTTTCTTCCAAAATTCTTGTAGGGTTATGTCTTTGTTTTCCCTGGTCTGTCTCTCAGTCCTTTGAAGGTACCTAAATATAATTCTTTTGAATTCCTTATCAGGGAGTTCCAATGCTGCGTCTTCCTCAGGGATGTGTTTTGGGTCTGTGTCCTGGTCCCTTGTTTCTCCTGCTTTATCTTGCTTCTCTGTGTGGACTATGATGCTCTGTTGTCTCCGAGGCATTGTGACGTTTTCGTGTTTATATTTAATTGATGATTATATGTTGGAATGACTTGCCCACAATTTTCATTTTCTTTGTTTTGTTTGTATGTTGTCTATATAGGCAGGGTACTGTGCTGTGCTCCTCTGTTCACTGGTTGACAGCACTTAAACACTCACCACCTGTCTCCTTTCCTTTGTCAGCCTCTCGTATGTCCTTGCCGATCCTGGCAAACAGAGCCCCTTCTTAGGTCCCTGGAATCTGAATGAGAATGCCATCGCTTTAAAATCCAAAATGGTTGCCACTTGTAAACGTTCAAAATGGCTGCGCCCTCAGTCACTTTAAATATCCAAAATGGCCACCGCTTGTAAACATTCAATATGGCTGCGCCCTCGGTCACTTTAAATATCCAAAATGGACGCCACTTGTAAACATTCAAAATGGCTGCGCACCCAGAAAGCAAAAAGTCCACAGCTCAAGTTGTCTCCCTCCTTGCTGTTTCCCTTCCTAGTCATAGGCCACTAGAGCAGTTGTCCCTGGAACCCTTAGTGACCAGGACTGATCTTTAGGTCAACTCTCAGGTCCCGACCCCACTTGGAAATATTCAGGCTGTTGGTCTCATCAGAGTAGCTGGCAGTCTGTAGCTCCATCTCTGTACTCACTGTTTTCGTTAAGGATTTTCCACTAGTTGGTGCCTAATCCACTTCTGTATGTTTTTGTTGCTATGTGCTGTCTTCTGTATAGTTCCTTTCAAAGCTCAAGGTTCCTGGATTATCTTCTGTACTCTGTCAGTTGTTTTTTGTTTTCTTTGTTGAAGAGGGTCTGTGTCACTTATCTGCCTATTCCTTCATCTTACCAGAAGTCACACTGGTAATTTCTTAGTTGTGGTCATTGTACTGTGATTATCTAAAATGTTAACACAAGAGGAAGCTGGATGCAGAATAGATGAGAACTGTTTTGATCAATTTTTCCCTTTTTCTGAAAGCCTAAAGTTATTTCGAAATAAGTTGAAAGAAGTACTTTTTATTTAGTAAAGTGCGGACACTCTGCACTATCCTAGCGTTCAAAAATATTTAAAATCTTGACTCAGCCAATCTCTTTAGCCATCTGTTCCTCCAAACATACTTTTATGTTCTAGCCAAACTAAATGATTTGTAGATAATTACCCTCTTGGGGAGGTGGGAGGAGCCATAACATTTTTGTGTATATATTACAAAATACTTAAAACCAGCATAACAGCGACCTCATGGTAAGGAATAAAATGCCACCATTGCAGATGTCATCTCCCTTACTTTGGTCATGTTGTCAAAAGGGACCAGTCCCTGGAGGAGGATATCATGCTTGGTAAATTAGAGGGTCAGCAAAAAGGGGAAGATCCTCAAAAAGATGGATTGACACAGTGACTGCAGCAGTGGGCGCAAGCATGGCAGGAATTGCGAGGACAGCACAGGGCCAGACAGTGTTTCATTGCGTTTGTACGTAGGGTTGCTGTGAGTCAGAGCTGACTCGATGGCACCTAACAACAAGAACAACCCAGAATGGAATTGACCAGATTGTCCTTTTTATTTTTAATTGTGATTTGGGTGAAAATTCACAGAGCAAATTCATTTTTCATACACATTTTGCTTCATGACATTGATTGCCATCCCCATATGTAACAACCCTCTTCCCACTTCCTCTGTGTGCTTACCTTTTCCTTGTGTCCTCCTTTCTTATGCCCCAAGTTTATTCTTTTCCTGCAAAACTAATTTCATGTGGTTGTTGATCTTATTCTGCAAAAGCACTCAGTCGGTTTCACAGCTCTCTCACTTGTATCTTACTTGATTTTTATAGCAGCTCTGTCAGAGGAGAGAAGCAGGGCTGGTGTAATCCTCCATATTACACAGATCAGGAATTTGTAAAGTATGTTGGGGGTGTTGGAAGACTTGTACAGGGTCCCAGAAGAGAACCTAAGGCTCTGCCCAATATTACAACCATTAATCCTTAAAATGAGTGAAAGTGTTAATCGAGCAGTTACATCTTTGCCAATGTGTTAATGGCTCAGGCCATGTAATACCCACTGGATGGTTCATCATAGGAATTTGGGGAGTTTCCCATCAATGCTAGTGATGGATTAGTAACTTCTGTTTGCTGTCCTCTTGGTTACAAAGGGTCACAGAAAAGCTGAAACCACATGTTGCAAAAGACATGCCTGGTGTATCTTTCAAAGAAAAGAAAATCTTCCAAGGGAAACTGATAGGAAGGTGTAACATCTCCTAAAGTTAAAATATCTGAGAAGACAAATGGCTTTTTGATAGCTTGCGACCCACAGATGAATGGAAACCTCTCTGCACAGAGACAGACGTGCAGCTGGTCACTCAAATCGCAATTTTGAAAGATGCAGAAGCAGTGCCCTTCGAATACCGTCCTCACGTCAGAAATGCACCTTCATGCTGGAAAATGATAAAAAATTACAATCGATCCTCACAACTGTTCTTTTCATCTTTATTGACCAGGTGCAAGAAAGAGAAATCACAGCCCAAATCAGATTATCGTAAATGTTAGCATCGTTGGGGACTCTGGGCTGATGGAGAGCCATTCATCATCTCAAATGGTGACCTGTCCATGGCTCCAGCCACCCCAAGCCGGCTGTCTAATCACATATCTATCGATTTTATCTACATCCGAGAAACCTGGATGTGACTGTCATTGGACAACACAGATTGTCAAATGCAAAGGGGTCACTGGTGTGAAGAGGATTTCATTTTCATTTTCTTACCAAGTGACAATGATTTATTAAAAAATAAACTACCCCAAGCCACGCGTGAGTGATTGGGGGCGAGGGTGGACAATAGACCACTGTATTGTGTGATCTGTTCACGTTGTTCCTTTTGTTCGGCAGTGTATTCTGCAGGATATTTCATTAGGCTCTGAGGGCGCGTGGGCTTATTTAGGGCCCGTACCCCCTTGTGGTGAGACAAGTTTCACAGTAGCAAGCCAGAATGGGTAATTTTTAAGTTGGCTGCCCCAAGTAAAGCCTTACTTTACCGTCACAGTGTCATTTATGTTGCTTTTGTGTTCATTCATGTAATGGTAGAAACATTAAAAAAAGAAAAGAAAACAAAAAAACTAACTAAATTTGTTCCCTTATTCTTACTGATTAATTTGTGTAAATATTGGTACTCTTGCAGTTGTGAGGATGACCACAGATTGGGGGGTGACAAATTCTACTCTGGAAAGATGTAACTTGAGGAGGAAAATGTTGTTGTTATGTACTGTGGAGTTGGCCCCGACTCATAGTGACCCCTCCTTGGGTTTCCGAGGCAGTATCACTACGGAAGTAGATTGCCCAACCTTCCTTCTGAGGAGTGGCTGGTGGGTTTGAACCACCAGCCTTCTGGTTAGCAGTCAAGTGCCTTAGGCACTATGCTATCAGAGCTCCAAGGAGGAAAATACTACATAGAAATGATCCCTTGGTAGCGAGGTTGGAGCCCGAAGGAGTGGTAAGCATGTGTGAGTGATGGGTGTAAATTTCCTTGTCAGAGCTGAAGCATTCTTTGACTTCACAGTGGGTGATTCCCAATGAGAGAAGTCTGAATAATCGTTCAGCAATGTGTATTGGGAATGTTCTCCAAAGGATCAAACAATGATGCATTGTAACTATGGAAGTCTAATTTATAATTACAACCTCTGTGCCAGCACCTGTACTGTTACAGAAATGAACTTCTTGACATGTATTTTCTTAAGGAGCCCAGTGTCACTGCTGCTTGAGTGGCCAAAACAGGACTTGCTGTATTATCTGAAGTTGTAAGTCTTGCACACTGTGGTCCGCCTGGTAGTAAAAGCTCTCTCTCGTTTTGTCCACAGAGCTCAGAGTTCTACAAAGTCACCACTGAGCAATATCAGAAAGCTGCTGAAGAGATGGAAGCTAAGTTCAAGTAAGTTTAACAGTAGCATTGTTATTTACTGTTTCTGATGAGAGGAAAGTAGAATTGTATGATACTGCTTTGGGAACAGAACCTACTCTGTTACATAGCACTCTGGACTGTTTGCAAGACTGTGTGGGTGGTAGAGAGGAGCCACGTTTTCAGCAGTCCTAGAATTCAAATCCAAGGCAAGGGCGTTTCATGAGAACTTGTAGCAACTCAGTCTGGTTTATATACTTAGGGGAAATTGAGAGCAATGATTATGGAGTTTTCCTTGGGGATAATATTCATTGGGGATAATCTATGAGATAGGATACCCTTGATTATGAAGGTGATGCCAAATTGTTACTTCTCCTAATGGAAACAGAAACCATTGACCTTTGTATAATAAAACGATAGGTGTGTCCAAATTGGGGTATCTGCTTTTTCCATGTTACAGCTGTTTTCATTTCTTCACATGGACCTTGGAAACATCTAAATCACAGACATTACCTTGCCCTTGACTGTGAAGGTGGCGTTAAATTGCTACCTCTATTAATCCTTGGGCCGTTTAAATGAATGTTCTCTAATTGACAGATCAAAGTGTCTGTGACCCCCGGCCCAGTTCTTTCCCACTGCTGCCATTCTCACATTAGGTAAGAAGACATCATCCAGAATTTTCCTAAGTGTATGAATAGTCCCATTGTGTAACCCCTGTTAGTAGCACATGTGCAAATTACTGAAGCAAAAAAAGGTGTTGTGACAGGTTTAGTTGAAAGATTACATCGGGTTCTGACCTCCTCCCTCGTGCGTGTTTATAAGCCTTTGATAAAATGATTACACCGGAGAGTTGAGCCATTACCTTTTAGTACAGAGCGAGTCGTGTGGTAATGGGTATTAATGTTGGTTTAATGTCAATTTAAAAAAAAAAAAAAAAAAAGTTTTTCTAATGATGACTTGAGGTATAATTATACAAACAAAAACGTCCAGTATTATAAGCAAATTTACTCATTAGGGACAGGGGAGAGACACCCTTGGAGAATGGGCCACATATTTCACTCTTGAAAGTAAGTATGAGGTCTTAAGTTAGCTGTGGAGTTGGGTATAGATTTGATTTTTTTAAGGTACTCTCCTTTTTTTTTTTAGGTTTTGTATATATTTCCTTTTAACTGTAAAGCATCATTTTTTACATTTTTTTATCTTGATATTATGAGAACCTTTGACTTGGCACCCTGGGCGTTTCTTTATTATAAGATGATCAAACCGAATGAAACCCACTGCCATGGAATCGATTCCGACTCCTAGCAACCCATAGGACAGAGCTGAGCTGCTTCAGGGTTTCTAAGGCTGTAAATCTTTATGGAAACAGATTGCCTCATCTTTCTCCAGCAGAGCAGCTGATGGGTTCAAACCATCGACCTTTTAGTTATCAGCTGCTTTAACCACTGTGCCATCTGGGCTCCTTTGTAAGATGTTAGCTATACAAATAACTAAAATTGAAGGCAAATCAAAGAAGATCAATTCTGACGAGAGTGATCTATGAAATCTTCATAAAGAAGGTATATTTTGGCTAAGACTTGTAGAAGAATATTCAGCAGGTAGAACGTATTCAGAAGGAAATGAAGCTATATATATAGTTGGTGGGTGACGAGTTTAGATAAGATCAGTGGTTTGACAGAGTTGTGCACGATAAAACCTGAAAGGTGAGTGGGATCATTGGCTGCTGGACTAGAAGTTTGGTCTTTATTTACCAGGAGTCATGAGTCATTGGCGGTTGTCTGTGAGGACCCTGATTCCCACACTCTTGAAGAAATGTGAATCTGATAGTGGATGCCATGTTTGATGGGAGTCATAAGAAAGGAGCAAGGAGCTCTGGTGGTACAGGGGTTAAGATAATTGGCTGCTAACCAGAAGATTGGTAGTTTGAACCCACCAACAGGTCTGTGGAAGAAAAATGGGGCAGTCTGCTTCAGTAAAGATGTATAGACTTGGAAACGCAGTGGGGGTCACTGTGAGTCAAAATTGATTCAATGGCAGTGAGTTTTTGGTATTTTTTTTTCAATGAGAAAAGACCAGTGGAAGTAGAAAATGGGAGGTGTCTGTAAGTGAAAGCGAAAAGAAAAGTGGATGCAAAAAAGGCACTGAGGGAAGATTTGGCATGAATTAGTGGTTATTTGGATAAAGAATCAAGGAGGAACCAGAAATATGAGATTAGCAAATCTGCAAACTAGAAGCAGCTGGGTTTTATAGAGGGCGGTAAGTCTAGTTTTAGATGGAAAATTACTCTGTGGAAACCTTGCCCAGCTGCCATGTCATTCAGCACGAGCTGGCCTGCTGGAGACTGAGAGGCCACGTGGAGCACAGAAATAAATGTCATGGTCACTTACTTTCTAAAAGACACCATGGAACGGTGGATTAGGCTTAGTTTTAAACAGAACTTGAGTGGCATCGTTCTCTCCTATTTTCTAAGGATACCATTCTTTATAAGATCCAGCTCTCATTTGGCTGCACTGTAGTAAAGAATTTGGCCTTGAAGGATCTCGAGAGGGATCTGCCTTGGAATTTCCCAAGCCATATGAGTGTCTTTGTCTTTCACAGTGCGCCCCTGAAACAACATGTAATGGTTTATGCTAATGAGGCAACTCATGGTGGGCCCCTCATAGTCGTATCAGCCTGATCTTGGGGGACTGGGGGCTGGAGACTGAGTTCAGTCACATGGGTAATCAGTCTTGCCAACAGAATGAAGCCCTGATAAACATTCTGGACACTGAAGCTTCATGGGCTTCCCTGGTTTTGGCAAACTTGTTTATTGTCACACACACACACCCCTCAGTACCAAAGGATAACACATCCTGAGGACAACAGATGGCTCCTGTTGGACCTTCCCAGACTCTGACTCCTTTGGCTATGTCTTTTCCCTCTAATAAGCCAGAATTGTGCCTAGTAGCACCTTCACGGAGCTTTTTGAGTATTTCTAGTGAATTACCAAATCTGACAATGGCTTTGGGAATGTCCTGAGTTTGGAGTTGGTGTCAGAAGTGAGATCAGTCTTGGAGACTCTGCCCTCAGACTTTGCAGTTGTGTGAACTCCTGGTACAAATAAAAACCCCAGGTTTTATTCACCATAAAAGAGTCTGTCTCCAGAAGAACTAGATGGTGCCCAGCTACCACTGCCATCCACTTGGAAGGGATGTAGGAGATCCTGCATAAAGAGGGAGAAAAATGTGGTACAAAACTCAAAATCATTTGGAGGCAAAAAAAAAAAAAAAAGGGGGGACCAGGTTTGCTGGTCCAATAGAGCCTGGTGTAACCACTGAGACTATGGCCCCTAGCTGCCCTTCAGGTCTGGAATTGAACCCACAACTGTGGTTTCCAGCCAAACAAAGTACAGGCATGTGAGTTAAACATTTACCTCAAGCAGACACACGCCCTGGAGAGAACAATCATGGGAGAAGGAAGGGCTGCTTATGCACAGGGAGATAGCTCAGGGTGCAGAAGAGTATGAAGGGGGATGGACACTGGGAGGAGGTAACTATGGGGAGGAAGTGGGAGGGGAGCTGCTGCATTGTAAATTTTGGTCAATGACATGAGACAAAGTATATGTGAACTGCTGTATGAAAAGTGAATTTACTCTGTAAATCTTCACCCAAATCCTAAAAAAAAAAAAAAAGAGTCTGTCTCCAGACCTAGTTATTTGGAGAGTACATTTCCTTAAATTATTTTTTTCAATTACTGACTGTTAGAGTGAATGTCATATTTTGGTTTCCAGTTAATTCACTATCTTCATACCTAAGAAGAGAACATGTACTGGGTATAGATATTTGCCATCTTTGAAGGTACAGAGATTCCTTAGTAGTAACCCTATTTCTCCATAGAAAATTTGGCCAACTTATATCACCATAACACTTCAGTCTTGTGTAAGGCTGTATGCTATATTCTTGTACAACAGAGCTTCCTTGCCTGGCCAAATCATTCCACTGGCTGCTGTCCATATGATCAGCTGGCACCTGAAGCTTCACCTTGAAGACTCCTGACCACTTTGAACTTGAGCTCAGCTGTGTTCTTAGGCAACAAGCTCTGAAGTACTTTGAAAACTATTTAATTTTATTTGATAGAAGTAATAGCCATCTTGGCTACAGGAGATGGAAGCTTTTTAAATTACAATTCAAGGGCAGTATTATACACCTGATAGTAAGTCACACAAAATCATTGTAAATAAAAAACAAAGAGCATTTGAGGCCACATGTAATTAACATCAGCACGTTAACACTAATGGAATTATGTTAAAATAAACCAAACCAGACCCACTGCTGTTGAATCGATTCCAACTCAGAGCAACCCCCATTGGGTTTCCGAGGCAGTAAATCTTTACAGAAATAGATTGCCCAGTCTTTCTTCCGTGGAGCGGCTGGTCGGTTTGAACCACCAGCCTTCTAGTTAGCAGTCAGATATGTTAGGCACTGTGCTACCAGAGCTCCTTAATGAAATTATGTTAGGGATGCTTAAATAATACCTCACACTTTGGTCCCTGAGTTTATAGTTTGGGCAGTATGCCATTAAGTATACCATACTTTTGAAGGTTTTTCCTTCCTATTTTGTCAACATTTCATTCATTTGTAGAACTCCTGTGTGACATGCTCAAGGTTAAGTTCTGAAAATACAGCTATAAAGAAGACAGGCAGGGTCTTACCTCATTTCCATTGAGTTGATTCAACTTATAGAGACCCTATAGGACAGAGTAGAACTGCTCCATAGGATTTCCAAGGCTGTAATCTTTATGGAAGCAGGTGGGACTGCCACATCTTTTTGCTGCAGAGTGACTCGTAGATTTGAACCATTAACTTTTCAGTTAGCAGCAAAAGGAAGAGATTTTTTAAAAAATCTAAAGTTGTACTGTCATGTGATAGTTGTGTCCCTAATAAATAAAATAATAATAAATACCATTATTTCAGTGGAAATTGATTTGGAGGTAGAGAATTTGTGATGCTATTTATTTTCCTGCAAGAATTTTTTTTCCCCACAATACTATAAAA